TTGACGTTTATTCGCTCAGTCGGTACACGTCATTACATCACATATCTCACTTATTATTAGCAGTAAATGGCGACAGATAATATTCTATAGAACATGTTTGAAAAACTCGCGATTAATTGAGAATCGCCTCTGACATCGTTGATGTATGTGATCGATTTTTCAAAAACCATCCAAAGTACAACCCTTTGATATATTGTGTGGTTTTCAATTAAAGAGAACGGAATCAATTCTATACAATCCTATTTTGACTTTATATTCGATTATTAAGCGTATTGATGGTACTTTAAAGGTAATAGAATTAATTGCAATGTACAGGAAACGATAATAACCATTACAATAGATGACCCTTTTCAAGGGCAAAAGTCATGAAACACTTCCAAGATATAGTTTTATTATTAAAGTTTTTCTGCGTAGACCAGAACGTTTCTTAAAAAGATTTTCGCGTTTTGTTTTTGCACTATCATCAGACGTTTTGTTATCTTGATAATTATTAGCAGCATTTAACATTTTAGTTTGGTTCCCCGACATTAAAATTCACCATTTTGTAGAAATAAAATCTATTAATCATATATTATTTATTTGTCATATTGCCATCAATGTACGGTTTTGTAAATTATGGGGTCCGATTTCGCCATTCTTCTTTACTTTGTTTTTCTTTAAAGCGCAGTTTGTAGACATACATTTTTCGGTTTTAAGTAAACAAAATATTATTTTTTTATTGATATTTCATTAATTTACATTATATCTTACGTTTAGTATGGGAGGTATAGAAATATCGATAATCGATTCGGTACATCACTGCTGTTGGATTTATGCAACTGTGGCTGTGCATTCATACAAAATTTTTTGATGATGCGGATTGCTTTTACTTGTTTCTTTATTTGAAATTTTACTCATACCTCAAGTGATAAAGGGAAGTAGTAAGGAATAAGACAGTCTTATTTGAACTTAACCTTTATTACCATAATTTATTATTTGTAACTTACTTTCTAGATGCGTTACAACTAACAACAGAAACTTTGTTGTATATATACAACTAAGGACACAAACTGAATTAGTTGAATATATACAATTGCGGCGGTTAATGGGTTAAGGACTGGAGAGTGCAATAAGCTACTTTTTATCCAGGTATAAAGTAAAGTATTTCATTCCCCCGAGATAACTTCATTAATACAATGCAGGCAAAACAATAATTTTAGATAAATATGCTCAACTATTTTTTGTATGATTATAAGATGTTACAATATATATTTTGAAATTGTGTTATAATATTAATAATTTATACTTACCAAATAAGGATGCATATTTCAACATTGCACTAGTTTGAGCACTCAGAACTTGGGCAGCTATATTTACTTTCATTTTTTTCATCTTTTCAGGATGAACATGCTGGTCTGTCAGTTTTTTATTCATTCTAGTATGACCAAGCTGGCAATCCAAGCTATAAACTGTCAATATGTCATTCCAGGGTGCGATTTTACCTTTGAAGATCATATTTTTCGTCAAAAAGTTATTGCGTATGCCTTTTAATAGATGGGGTGGGTCAAAGACAACGCTTAATAGTTGGTAATTTTGATGGTACCATCTGTAATAATAAAATTTTCATTATAAAAACTTCCTATTCCTATTTATCTGATTATAACAAATGAATGTTTTTTTTTACTAACCATCATCTTAACTATTTAAATTCCTCTTCTGTTTTGTGTCCTTTCTTAAAGTATTTAATGCAGATCTAAATGTTGATCCCTGGTCACATATAAAAGCAATTGGTATCAAACCAGACTGTGTCAGTTTTTTTACAAATTCTTTCAATATTTTTATCAATGATGGTGATGAAACTGTTCCTTCACAAAAAATAAAAACATATGGCCTGACGCCAGTTGGAACATACTCCCCTTACCATAAAGACAAGAGCGTGATCAGCATATTTCAGTTCTTTGCTGCTGGCTCCTAAATCTTTAAAACCTTGTACCTCATCTTGGGCTTCCACATATGTTAAATGAGGTGTCAAAGCAACTTCATCAAAAACAATGGAGCATAATTTCTTTATATTGTTCCATTTCTTCACTTTATGCTCAAGAATTTTAAACATGTTATCGTTAATACCAATTGTAAAAGTATTTTTTTCTGTAAGACGATTTAATGTTCTTTTAACTAGGCAATTTAAATATTTGTGGCAACAATCTGTATCCTTTTGGACTTTCTTTCATTAAAGAAAGAGATAAAAGCTTTTCTTCTGTGGAAAATCTAATTGCTTTTTTATTTTTGTCTGCTATTTTCAATTGCATTAAGACAAAATTCTGTGCATGGATAGACATTTTGTCAAATTTTTTTATAAATAGTGGGCTTTTACAAAAGCTTGCCTTATCAATTTTTTCTTCAAAAGGGCATTCTGTCTTATTTTCATTTTTAGCAATTTTTTTCACACTTTTAATAAAAGTTTTACGTTTTGTCTTATTTCGTCTTACAGCCTCCATAGGGTACGGGCACCAGTAGTCAGCCTTTTAGTGGAAAGCGCAAGTTTACATATGTATAGAAAATTATTCAAAATAATAATCAAAAACCTTTTATACTCATTCACTTAATCACTTATTAAACTTTGTTACATAATCAACAGATATCATAATTTTCTTCAGGTTCTGTTCTTTCTTCAACTATTACGCTTTGTTCATTATCCGCAACTCCTATCTTTGTAGTATTACTGTTTACTGAATAATTCAATCCTTCAATGAGTTTTGCATTTTCAACAATTTCGAGTACAACATTTACATCAACACCTCTGGCGTTCAAATCATTGCGCAAATGCTTTATAACTTTTGATGTAATATCAAAATCTCCTTTTTCGATGTTACTTGGTGGAGTCATCTTGCTGGTAGATGCTTTCTTTTTCTCTAATATATTTTGCACGCATTTTGAATAATCTACTGCACTTGGATTAAATGGAAAACAACATTAAATGGAACAATTTGCGCGCACGTCGCGTCTTTCCTCGACAGGTGTCAACGACGAAATGGACTCGGATTACTGTTTCTTGCAGCCATATAGCATCATTGGTATGTTTTGAACCGACTAATAAGAAGGCAAAGTTGTTTTCAAACGTGACTTGGTTGGTTAATTTATAATAGAACGCTATTCCTATAGGTTATTAGCTGGAAAAGGCTGACTACTGGTACGGGGCTGACTACTGATGCCCCTACCCTAACTGAAAAGAGAAATTGTTATTGTTATTATGTACTATTAAATTATGATTTATTTACGAAAATACCTTGTGGTGTAGCTTTGAAAGTTGACAAAATATTGTTAGAATGGTATTGAGATACCATAACTTCCACATCCCTAAAATATCTAGGTTCATCAGAATGTGAGCTGCATCCTTTAAAACAGTGATTCTCAACCTTTTTTTCGTTGCGGCACATATTTAACGATTTCAAAATTTGGCGGCTCACAAAGAAAAAGATAAAAATTATTTACTTACTACAACACACTAGTATAATACATAATAGCTACAACACAATAGCATAAATAGTTTATGACAAACATTTTAAATATACGAAATAAACTAATATTTACTACAATAATAACTAAACATTTATTAAGGGATTAATTACAAGCTAATAATAAATATATTTTTAATGCGAAATTTGAGCTCGATGTTTTTTGACAATTTCTTTAAATTTGGTCGTAAAAATGACAATACTACTCTCATATCGTCTTCTACATTTAACAATCTTGATCTTTTTTTTAGTTTTAATGTTGGCTAATGCTGAAAATCCGTAATCACACAAATAAGATGTGGAAAATTGTAATAATATGTTTAAAGCTTTTTTGGTTTACAAATTTATAAACTAACACTACATGCAAATAAATTAATATTAAACCGAATCACATACATTTGCCAATTTTAACGAAAGAAAAGGTGCAGTGCAACACCTTGTGAATCTCAACTATCACTAAAACAACACGTTTTGTACGCAGAAGTGGCAAGTGTGCGCCGATATTCCTATTGCTTTGCACGCCGCTTCATCATAATTTGGCACCAAGAAAAAACGCGTTGCAAATCAATTTTTTTTTTTTGTGGATTTAAATATATATTCATGTTAGAAATATTTTTCTTTTTAAATGATATAATTTAATAATATTAACATTATTATATATTTGCAAAATTTGGCGGCACACTTTTGAAATTTGACGGCACACAAAAGTGCCGCGGCACAATGGTTGAGAATCACTGCTTTAAAATAAAATATACTTGATTAATTTCAAAAAGATTTTCAATAGGCTATTCAGTGAAAATTACTATATCAGAGTAATTACCTGATTTTGTGATGTTCAAAACGGACACTTTCCAGAGTCAACTTCCATTGGTTTTATAGCTTTTGAAGAGCTTGGTACAGCATAGGTAATATTTGAGACATCTGAAAAATTTATGATAAATCTGATGATAACCCATGTAATAATTTCAAGTCATTAAATAAAATGATTTATGTATGTTTTGCATAAAATAAAATAGAATTGAAATGATTAGGAATAAAATATTTATACAAAAAAATATATTTACCTGTAAATTTCTCTTTTGAGGATGATACATTAGTTGAACTCTTTTCAATGTAAATAGGCACTGTATGTTGGTATGTGCTTTGTGTGATTGGTTTTGTGATTGGTATTTATTTTGGACAAGGTAAACCGAAAAGTTTAACTGAATACTTGGAAGATTTTATTAATGAAATAAAACCGTTACTTGAAAACGGTATTTATATTCAGAGTTGTGGAAGGAAATTTACAATAAGGATTAGATGTTCTATATGTGATTCACCTGCTACAGCTTATATAAAAAGTATGTACTGATAGTATATTTTAATACAAGAGCAGATGATTTATCATTGCGACCGAGGCGGAAACTGTACGAGCCGTAAGCATAATTACTGTCTATTTAGATGATAAACCCGCATGGAATTAATAATACTATATTAGAATAACAAAAATAATCTTGTTTTTTTCAGGTGTTTGTAGTTTCAATGGTAAACATGGTTGTTTAAAGTGTGTGACAGTTGGAACGTATTCACACACTTCGCATACTGTTGTATTCTCCGACACGAGAAGTCCTGAAAGGAGTAATGAAGGGTTCCGGAATAAATTATATGGTGCACACCATAAATGTAACTCGCCATTGTTAAGTCTACCAATTGACATGGTGGCCAATTTCCCAGTAGGCGATTCCCTTCATCTCATTGATTTAAAAATAATGAAAAGATTACTGATTGGCTGGCGTGACGGCAACTTTGGAAAGTACATTACGAAATGGCGTGCAAGCGATACTGAAGCAGTTACATTGTTTTTAAACCAATGTAAATTACCCTCTGAGATACATCGTTCAGTGCGAGGGCTTGATTCTTTAGCGTATTGGAAAGCGTCAGAATTTAGATCGTTTTTTTATTATATTAGCATTGTCATTTTACCTGATGTTTTAAGTCCTGATACTTTTTCACACTTTTTGACACTCTACTGTGGAATAGGAATTTGTTCCAATACAGCTTATCAATACTTATTACCACGGGCAGAACAACTTCTGAGATATTTTGTTCAAAATTACAAAGATTTTTATGGAGCAACATATGTAACTAGTAATGTCCACAATTTACTACATGTTACTGCTGAAGTTGAAATGTATGGAACTCTTGATACCTTTAGTGCATATCCGTTTGAGAACAAATTGTACATGATCAAAAGAATGCTGAGAGATGGTAAAAATCCACTTTCACAGGTGGCCAAAAGACTAACTGAAGATGCGGAGAACAATGGGATGAATATTCACCTTGAAAAAAAAAAGAAAAACTGAATATCCATACATATTTAAGGGTAAGAAAAATATTTTCTCTCTAATTTTTCGGAATATTGTATCATCTTCTAAAAAAAAAGATAGATATTTTTTAACAGTTCAAAATGATATAGTTGAAATTGAATAAATTGAAGAAGTTAATAGTATCGTCTCCATAAAAAGTTTCCTGTTGAATAACAAAGAAGAAGTGTTTGTCTATCTAATAAAATCATCCCGACTTGGAATATACAAATCTAATAGCCTTAAAAATTGCGATACTAGTGTGGTTCTATTAAGTCCTAAATATATAAAGTGTAAATTTGTTTGTATTCCTCATAAAGAATATCACTATTTCATACCGCTAGGACATACTGTTTGAAAATAATATACAGCATTGCTTACTGATTGTATAACTTTTATTTTCTTTCCTCATTTAAAAATACAAATTATTAACATGGCAATATCTTTCAGACACATAATCATATTCATTAAAAATCACAAAAACATTAGGAACGAACTACTAATAAGCCCTTATTAGTAGTTCGTTCCTAATATTAGTATCTTTTAGTATCTTCCCTCATTCAAAAATATATTATTAACTTAGAATTGTTTAATAATTTCTGACACAACATAATCATATTCATTAAAAATCCACAAAATTACTAGGAACGAACTACTCGTAAGAGTGCCATGCTACTACTACTCGGACTACTCGTAAGCCATGAAGTAAGTATCGGGATAGCGTTGCTATTGCTCGGCACCTCGCGGCTAATTAATAGTCAAAGGAAAGTTACTCTCTAGGCACTTCGTTGTTTCTATCCCCATCTCTTAGATTTGCGTCATTATCATCAGTTGCAGCCTCTTTCGTAGTAATGCTATTATTGATTTCAAACTGGTTACTATCACCGCCTGTGTTGCCTTCAGGCACGATTAGTTTTCTGGACTTCCGGACACGCTTTGTTGATTCTCGCAAGAATTGCATAGATTTGCGCTTGGTCGCGTTCTTTAGAACGAGTTTAAAAAATCTTATCATTTGATCATCAGTAAAATTCGGATCCCACATGTGCACAATTAAAAAAAAAACTTTTTAAATTTCTTGAAATCTTTCATCGATATTTTTAAGTGTTCACTTTTGCTTGCCCCCGACCAAGAGCACTGGCATAAAAAATCCTACGTGAATAAAATGTCTATTAACTTATAGGCACATGTTTGGCCTTCACCCTTCTTACATGAATATAAAGTTGATAAACATTTGACTAATTTTTTCCGTTGCACTTTGTCAGCTAAAGTAAACTCAAACATTTCAGTCTTCTTTAGTTTCGATAGCTTTCAAGCTGAAACTTTCTCGTTCTTCTGATGACGCGTCTTTAAGTAATGTAACGTTACATTGTTGTTCTTGTTGCAATTGTCTGGTTGATTCATTTGTTTCATCCAATTGTACTGATAAAGATGCCATTTTTTGTCCGATTTTTTTTTTATTTTCTATTATTAGGTTTAGTTTATTTAAAATAAGAATTTGATTTGCCAACATAATGTCAGAATTTACTGAGCTAATTATTTGTACTGTCCCCTGTTGCTCAACAACTTGCAAGGTCTCTTCTTGCACTGATTCAAAATTTTTGATTGAAGGTTCATACGCACCAGGTTGTGAATATATCTGTAATAATAAAAAATAATGATCGTTTATAAATCTTAAATAGCAAAGGTAGAAATAATAGGTAAAGCTTTATTGCGATGTGAGATAAAATTGTGACTAAATGGCTAACGCGATCGAACGAAACGTTTAGGCTCCAGTCGTTTTCACCCGCTGTCCGCAACGTGTGAACGAGAACGACCATACCCAAACATTTTCATTCGTTGAGGACGCCGCGAGTGCCGGGCCGCCACCCGCCGCGGACAGTGGATGAAAACGACCACAGCCTTCCCACGTTTGGCACTCGATTGGTTAAACCACTCAAGTGCTTTATGCAACTGGGGTTGCAAATCAACTTGACCCTGATCATTAAATTGAAAAGAAAACTCACAAGAAAAACTTGAATTTTGCGGGCTGTGATTACAGCTCATTTTTAACTGCCTACAAAAAAAAACAAATACCTATCCATTCCTAACCTATGAAACAACTTAAAAAAATCTCACCAAATTTTCGGCCATTGCTTCAAAGTTAACCTCGTTTTCCTTTGCTTGGCACGTTTTAGATGAACCCGGAAACCCACCCTGGTCCAGGCCTTGAATGTTCATCTCTTAACAATTTCATCGGGTATTTTGTATTTCTCGACGGCCACCGTAGGACGTCCTTATTTTCCCACAGTGCCGGAACGAGAGACAGAGTGGGCACACCTCCCTCTAAGGTTTGGACAATTTTGTAAGGCATATTCTGTAAAAAACAAAACAACATGATAGTAAGTAAGTACATACATTTAAAGTATTTATTCAAGATAGATCCAGCATCACGTTGCAGATGAAATAAAAAAGTAATTATATAATAGTCAGTTATAAGTATAGTTCACCAAAAAAAATCATTATGTGACCATAAAAAAATGTTTTTGGGCCACAGAAATACATAAGTACAAAATAACTGATTTGGTCGCGCATTCAATAAATAGTTTATTTATTACTTATCCTTTTAATTAAATAGGAATAACAGCTACCTATTCAAACTTCAAATAAAATATGTACTCGGCGTCGATTATTACTAAAAGGGGATTAAAATGGTTTTAGCAGAACCATAGCAGGACCCTAAAAACTTGAGACTCATAAAGACGGTTTTCTGTTTAACTATTGCAAAATGTGAACCACTACTACTCTTCAAATCTATCCATGGCTGATTTGTTTCTCATAAGTTCTTAACTAACTTACTGATTGCTGAATTATAGGCCACAAGAGAACATCCGTACAGACCTTAGCATTGTATTGATATTAAAACTGTTCCCATGCTATCGGCCATTTTCGCTACTTTACTGTGAATTTTCGTAAAATATTATCTTTTTATTATGGTTTATTTTAGAAGATTCCGATTGGAATTGGTTTGGTTTACTAATAATTCTCACGTAGCCAGCTTTTTTATAGTTGTTTTGTAAAAAAACAATAACATTTATTTTGTTTACTATCCATTTAAGTTAGATTTTATTAAGTATTTAGTCGTATTTTGAGAGCGCGTGAAAATATTGAACTACATATGTATGGTATTTCACAGTAAAGTTGCCTTCCCAATAAGATTTCAGATATTTTACGAAGAAATCAAAGTTTTACTTACCGCAAATTATATTTATTTTCCACAAATATCAATTTTGTACACAGCACAAACACTTCACTTTTTAACAAATTGACAGTTCGTGTTAGAGAAAAATAAATAATAAAGTTATTGCATTTCACAATTTCGCTCAGAGTGTACTTTCAATCGCGTAAAAGCATTTATAATGTACACATTCGTCTGACTGTTACACACATAAATGCTAATATGATGTTGATATAATTCAATTATTTGATAATTGGATTTCAACTATGTACTGAATAATTTGTGCCCAAATTAGAGTTATATCAGCTGAGGAGGCGCTGCTAACTCTGTTGTACAGCAAGTTTATGCAGCTAATGGTTTCACGGTGCACTGTTAAAGTGCTCTTCTAAAGCACTTTTGTGCCACTTGGGCTTCATGTCCTTACCAGATTTTCTAAGAGGAATTCCGAACAACATCTCCTTCTCAGTTATTAAACAAGGATAACCGCGACGAAGGCGATTACCCGTATTGTCAAATTGATGTCGGTCAAAGTGGTTTTGACAGACATATTTATTTAATAATTGCTCTTTGCTTAAGCTACTAAGTTCATTGTTCGTAGGAACTACAAACTAAGCCACAAGTTTCTTAAATCATCGTCCTTTGGAAATTTGAAAAGCCGATGGGTATAATTTGTAGGTAGGCAACCTCCCACACAACATTTTCGCAAAGTCATCACGAAAATGATAATGAGACGATTATGTTCGAAGAATACTTTAAAACTCAATCGAAAATCGCGAGGATTAAATAAAATCAAAGGCAAATAAGCATCGGTGTTAATATTCAATAACCTAACTTCGTTAACATCAACGTGTCAGATTTGACAGCCGTCTCATTGTAAACATGCCGTCTCATGATCAATGTGGCGGTCGCAGGCACACTAGCGCTTTGCGGGGGCAACGGAACTAAAGCTGTCACAGGCCTGGACAAGAATGAGGTCAACTCGGCGGTGGACTCGCTGGGCGGCATAAGACAGAGACAGAAACAGCGGTTTTCTTTCTCTGACTTTAAAGCTTGTGCGATAGGTTGAGCGCGTAGCAGGGCTACTACATGGTCAAAGATTAAATCTTGAAGGGTGAATACAGTATAATTAGTATTCATAATTAAACAATCTTATATTCTAGGTAAGAAACAATAACATCAACATTTTCGCCTAGCAGATTCCTTCTTCTGTCCGAAAAAATTTGTCCAGCAGCACCAAACAATTGTTTACTGGAAACACTCGAGGATGGTAATTTTAGGTAATTTTAACAATTTCATGGTTTCGGTAAGATGGTTCTTGACAGCTAAATGATCATTTATAGAATTGTAATACGAAATTCATCGAGTTGCGCATGGAGATGTTGGTAACTTTCCTGTCATCTCCAAATATTTTTCCTTTGCTTTTGGTGATCTAGAACATAAATTCCAGATAGATTGGTACTTTCCTAAGGCCAAAATAATTTTCAATTTAACTTGTTTGAAGTGAGAGTAGACACTGCTTTAATTTTTTACATATTACTGTTGATTCTGAACTACTGCCATTATTCTAAGTAAGTTTTGTTTTGATAGAAATAGTATTTTTTACTTTTTTTAAAGGTGTGTAAAAGCTTTTTTATATTAATTATTATTAATTGTAATTGAATATTTTCTAAACATTTTAAGTCAATAATATTTTTTTTCTTAATGTCCTGCATTAAAAGTTTAGGTACAATAGCAGTACGCCTACTAGGTCAAAGATTTGAGCTATTTTTGATGAAATATTTCTCTTAGTACATGGTAATTCAGTAGGACTTGGGATGGACATTTGAAGAGTATCCGTAGCAGGTGACCATTTTAAGCCAAGAGTTTTGACTGAAGTAGTTGGTGAGAAATTATAAGAATTATCCTTAGTAGGCTTCTCATCAACAGGAAAACTTATTGCCTTTAGAGAATCTTAACTCTGCTGCGCAGTTACAAGAAGTTACTAGATTTGATTTTGATATAACACTGAAATTGGTGATAGGTTTATATGGTCAAACACAACAATAGTTTTGTTTTTGTACCTTTTCGACAGGATAATCAATACTATTTTAAAGTTTTTACCTGTGATTAGCAAAGATGAAATAAGACCTGCTGCTTCTCCTGTAAGAGCCGATTTTAAATATTGTAATTTACTAACGAGTGGCAAGTCCACATTATCCACCGAAGCGTAGAATATGTGCCATGTTTTATATCCTCGTCGAAACGTGGCAGCTCTAATTGCGGCAGCTTCACGCGTGGTTTCCTTGTTCCATCCACTAATGTAGTCATAAATGTCTGTTCAGACGAATCACTAGCTCTTGTGGGGTCTAGAGTAGACCCAGAGGGATTGTTCTCCGACCTGACCGCAGTGGACTGGACTCCTGTCTTAAATTGTAACAATGTCAATGAAGTCGTCAACTTGTTTTCAAATTTACTTAATGAAGCTATAGTAAAAAACTCACATACAATAACTGTTGGTCGATCTCGAAGAATTTTGAAGCCATGGATCACCCCTGGCTTAATACGTTGTCAAAAAACGCGCGACAAGTTACATATGCAGGCTAAAAAAAGTCCATCTGATCCGATAAAACAGACAGTTTATAAACGCTACCGAAACTTTTTAACTGAACTCCAACACAGAATAAAAAACAAATATTATGAAGATCAGATTATGACTCATAAAAAGAACTCCAAAAAACTGTGGTCTACTGTTCGTGATGTTTGTAATATTCCCGCCAAATATAACGACGCGTCTCCTCTAACTAAAATCAGCTCTGATTCTGTGAAATCACTTAACGTGACAAATGAATTTTTCGCTGGTATTGGCAAAACTCTGGCAGATAAAACCCTCACTAAACTTAACGTATCAGAAACAGAGCTCGCCTCAAAAGTGAATGTTTCAATTTCCCCGTCAACGTCTTTTTATATGACTCCCACTGACATTCGTGAAGTAGACTCCATAATAATGGGCTTAAAGGACGAGAGTGCCGCCGGTCTCGACGGCTTTACTCCAATACTAATAAAAAAAATTCGTATTATCATTGTCGAACCTTTAGTCCATATATTTAACCTGAGTATAAGCACGGGTGAATTCCCCGAGCGCTGGAAACATGCGATAGTGACTCCCATCTACAAAGACGGTAATAAAGATGCTCCTTCTAACTATAGGCCAATTTCGCTGCTGTGTGTTTTTTCAAAAATCTTGGAAAAGATCATCAACAAACGTCTTGTGAATTATCTAGAGGTCAATGACTTCATCTCGAATAGACAATTTGGATTTAGACGTAAAATCTCCACAGAAGATGCCGCTTCTCTTGTAACAAATACTATCTCTGCCTCTCTGGATAATAAAAAATGCTCTGTCGGAGTCTTTATTGATCTAGCTAAAGCTTTTGATACAGTCTCATGCCCAATCCTTTTAAAAAAGTTGGAGTGCCTTGGCATCAGGGGAATCCCACTCAATTGGTTTAATAGTTATTTATCTGGCCGCTATCAGTCCGTTCGGATTGATAAAGTTCGTAGTAATACGCTTAACGTAAATTTCGGAGTCCCTCAAGGTAGTATTCTCGGCCCAACACTATTCACAATCTATATTAATGACCTTCTTCACCTCCCTGTACCCGGCGCAGACATAATATGCTATGCGGACGATACAGTGGTTCTCTTTAAAGATTCTTCGTGGAATGATGTGATGAGGCTCGCAGAAAACGGCATGATCCCTATCGCCAAGTGGCTTGATCGTAACCTTCTGACTCTTAATACAAAAAAGACAAAGTTCATAGCATTCCATAAAACAAGAACTTCTTCACCTAAGAGCTTGCCTCCATTAATTTTACATAAATGCAATTTACTAAATGCTACTTGTAATCACAGTACATACAGGAGTGTCTGTGACTGTGAGTCGGTGGAAAGAGCCGACTGGGTCTCATATCTAGGCATACGTATCGACGAAAATCTCTCTTTTAACCGGCATATCTCCCATGTC